CCTGATTCTGTCTATTAGCAAATCTCTTGTGGTTACGGGAGTCTGGTAAACTTTTTCTTTTAGAAATCCCCACACAATGAAATCTAATGGATTTAGGTCAGGGGATCGTGGAGGCCAGGTGACTGGTCCTCCGCGGCCGATCCATCTTTCTGGATAATTTTCGTCCAGCCAGTTTCTAACTATTCTCGAATAATGAGCTGGACAACCATCAAGCTGGAACCAGGCCAATTTTCTTAAATCTAACGTAACGTCATCCCACATATTTGCATGTTCAGACTTTAAAAATTCCAAGAAGGTCGCAGCATTTAACCTTGCAGGCAAAGGTAGGGTCCAAATAGTCGATTACGGTAGATACCAATCCACACGTTCACACTAAATTCATGCTGAAAATTTCTTTCCCGAACTGCATACTTTCAATTTCAAAAATATTTGCAGGCACAGCCTACTTCCAAAAATTATCGAGATACTGACTTTTTAACGTTATTTTATCATAATTAAAAATGTATCATACCTTAAAAATCGAAATACCTCAAAAACGGCTAACTATAACAAAAATTCACAAGAGAGCTTTTTTATGTTGAAAAGTGCGATGAATCAGTTTTTTTATTCAAAAAGGAAAAAAGTGCACTGAGAAAATTTTTTCGGTCATTTTAATACACTACAGGTACAGTAGAGAGCGACCTCTAGAGTCTACAGTAAAACTATGTCCATGGTTCGTTTCGTCGTACCAAAAAACCCTTGTATACCAATTTTCACTGTTATACATCAAATATTGTTCGAAATATTTAAACAAAACTATTTTAGAAAGTAAATTTAAACACCCTGTATTTCGGAAGCCACGAATTTTTCGACTTTATGCATTAATTTTAAAAGTTCTATCGAATCTTAAAGTTATGCAACAATAAACTGAAACACCCTGTATATGCTTATCTTATTATGATGTAAACCTAAAACCAGGGGTTAAGTGGAAGCGCGGATATGCCGTATTTTCTTTTGTGGGAATAAAGACATTATTATTATTATTATATCTTAAAAAATCGTGAAAAATGACGTTTTCGGTATTTCGGTAAGTAAGGTCACATTTTGGTAGAAACGTTGGGTAAAACTGAATCCGATTCACACTTCTTGGACGACAGGATCCCGCATGCAGGTATTCAGAGCATTAAGCTGACCTTAGCCGATGAGTTGGATAGAAGAAGACTATTAGCGACTTTGTCTCCGACGAGAGATCTGAAGGTTCTCACGGCCTCAATCAGCTTAATTCTTCCAGGAAGCAGTACTTTCATGATTAATAAGAAACACCCTAAAATACTGTACATCCGGTTTCGATGATGATCAAGTTCTGCCAAGAAGCGTCGGGTGGTCGGATCATCGACGACTTGGATTTGATTCGAAAATACTTCGCCAGTCGCGGCAGCTGCTGCGAAAAAGTTGGGCTATCTGTTTAGAAACAAGAAGTAGTTTTTTCTACACAACCGCCTTACTGTATACAAGGCCGAAATAAGGCTCCGCCTCGAGTACTGCTCACATGTTTGTAGTGCTGCCAATGTGCTCTAACTTAAACAGAATTGGATGTTACTGTGATATATTTACGACAAATGTTAATTACCTGCTAAAGGCAGCTAAGGCTTATTCGGACCAATAGCTCATGTTACAAATTTATACCTGTGTTGCATTTGTTGTTTTCTTTTCGCTTTTTTTCGCTTTTTTTTGCTTTTGTATTATGTTTATAAATTGTCCTATAAATGGGAAACTGTTGGCCAATAAAGCTATTATTATTATTATTATTATTATTATTATTATTACGACTACATTATTCTTAATGAATGCTGTTCAGAGGAGTGCACGACTAATCGATGACACTTGTTTAATGGACAGTTTCGTGCGTTTTTCACACCGAGCGACGATGGGTCGGCGATCAGGCTCACATCTACCGGTGTGCCAACGGGCTTTGTTTCTCAGTGCTGACCTCAATGATGCTGCCACGCATTAAGCTTCCTAACTCTGTCGAATGCTGTAAATCCAGCGAACTGGCCAGTACTATCGCTCCTTTGTTCCTAGGGTCGTGGAACAATCTGCTTGAAAGGTTTTGGCATATTGGCATTCCTATGAAAAATAATTTCCAGGCATTGATTAGTAATCGCGATACTTCCTAATACAATCAAAAACTGAGACGCGCAATATTGCGTAGTTGGTGACTTGTTGGTGATTGTGGCTGGGTATGTGAATTCCGTCTATACAGGGTGTTAGAGTTTATTGTTGCGTAACTTTAAGATTCGATAGAACTTCTAAAATTAATGCATAAATTCTATATAAACATGGGTCAAAAATGCGTGGCTTCCGAAACACAGGGTGTTTAAATTTACTTTCTAAAATAGTTTTTTTTAAATATTTCGAACAAATATTTGATGTATAACAGTGAAAATTGGTATACAAGGGTTGTTTGGTACGACAAAATGAACCATGGGCATAGTTTTACTGTAGCCGCTAGAGGTCGCTCTCTACTGTACTTGTAGTGTATTAAAATGACCTAAAAATTTTTCTTAGTACAATTTATTGCTTTTTGAATATAAAAACTGATTCTTCGCACTTTTCAACATAAAAAAGCTCTCTTGTGAATTTTCGTTATAGTAAGCCGTTTTTGAGATATTTTGATTTTTAAGGTTCGATGCATTTTTGATTATTTATTATAAAATAACGTTAAAAAGTCAGTATCTCGATAATTTTTAGAAGTAGGCTGTGCCTGTAAATATTTTTGAAAATGAAAGCAGAATAAGGTTAAACGACAATTAGTTGACAGTTAGTTTTGTTGTCTGGTGAAGCCTGAAACGTTTTTTTGCAATTGTGAATGCACGAAATTTAGTTTCTTTTACCTGTTTTATAAAAAGTTTTATAAAAATGCCATTTTTATTCTCCAATCAAGAGTTAGCGGATATTCATTTTGTATATGGCTTTGTAAATGGAAACGCAGCAGAAGCAGCCAGAGAATACGCACGAAGATTTCCAAACAGACGACATCCAACTCGCTCAGTATTTGTAAGAGTGCATCGCCAACTAATTGAAATTGGTTTTGGAAATCTCCAAAGGGATCTAAACATAAATGTTCGTCAGCGCAGATTTACCCGTATGATTCTGCGTGAGTTTGATAGAGATCCGACCACAAGTGTTAGGAGAGTTTCTGGTGCCTTGGGAATTTCAGCAAGCCATGTTCACCGTGTTCTTAGAAATGACCATAGACGTCCTTACCATTTGCAACCTGTCCAAGGACTACAGCCAGGGGACGGAGAACGAAGAATCACATTTTGTCAGTGGATTCTTGATAGAACTGATAATAATAGGGAGTTTTTAAGTAACGTTTTATGGACCGATGAGTCATGCTTCACTAGACGTGGAGTGGTAAATTTTCATAATCAACATATTTGGTCACATGAAAATCCGCATGCAGTTCGGGAAAGAAATTTTCAGCATACATTGAGTGTGAACGTGTGGATTGGTATCTACCGTAATCGACTATTTGGACCCTACCTTTTGCCTACAAGGTTAAATGCCGCGACCTTCTTACAATTTTTAAAGGCTGAACATGCAAATATGTGGGATGATGTTATGTTAGATTTAAGAAGATTGGCCTGGTTCCAGCTTGATGGTTGTCCAGCTTATTATTCCAGAATAGTTAGAAACTGGCTCGACGAAAATTATCCAGAAAGATGGATCGGCCGTGGAGGACCAGTCGCCTGGCCTCCACGATCCCCTGACCTAAATCCATTAGATTTCTTTGTGTGGGGATTTCTAAAAGATAAAAGTGTACCAGACTCCCGTAACTACAAGAGATATGCTAATAGACAGAATCAGGAATGCATGTGATGAAATAAGGCCTTATTTGAATAATGCTATACCACGTTCGATCATTCGTAGATGTGAATTGTGTATTGAACAATTGGGTTTACATTTCGAGCAACTACTTTAGATGTTGTATATTTGTCCTAACTATCCAATAGCATTTTAGTTATAAATAATTAATTTAAGTTTTTAAAAATAATATTGGAAAATTAAACAAATTAATATTCTGTTTTTAGTGTTTATTTGGAGTTAGGAATTATTGCTGTGTTTAAAAACACAATCTAAACGATCATCTTAATTACTTGTAATGCCCAAATCGAAAATGTAAAAAAAAATATTATTTTCCCATAAATAATTAAAAATGCATCGAACCTTAAAAATCGAAATATCTCAAAAACGGCTAACTATAACGAAAACTCACAGGAGAGCTTTTTTATGCAGAAAAGTGCGAAGAATCAGTTTTTTTATTTAAAAAGCAAAAACTTGCACTAAGAAAATTTTTTCGGTCATTTTAATACACTACAGGTACAGTAGAGAGCGCCCTCTAGCGGCTGCAGTAACACTATGCCCATGGTTCGTTTTGTCGTACCAAAAAACCCTTATATACCAATTTGCACTATTATACATCAAATATTGTTCGAAATATTTAAAAAAAAACTATTTTAAAAAGTAAATTTAAACACCCTGTATTTCGGAAGCCACGCATTTTTCGACCTATGTTTATTTAGACTTTATGCATTAATTTTAAAAGTTCTATCGAATCTTAAAGTTATGCAACAATAAACTGAAACTCCCTGTATAGCAGAGAGAAGCAGAGGGAATGGAATTTATATGGGAGGATCTTAGACACAGTCACTGATAGGTTGGCGACTGCTGTATGAACAGGACTATCATTAGAGTGGTTTGACAGGTCGAAAAGAGTCATTTCTGGTAAAACATATACTTGTGGAGAAAATATTTACCGGATATTTTTGTTGCTCACCTTTAGCTTTTAATACCTTCACTGAACTTTGTGCCCAGGAGATCATAATGTACAACATACTACAAATTTAGACAATTCCACTGCATACCCTTCTGCAATATGTTTTGTGTGGTACTCTTTATGAGTATTCTCAATATAACATCACTAACAACACCACGATAGTTTTTTCTAAAGTACTTACTTGAAATGGGAAGAAAAAACTTGTCGCGTGTTGGTTGTAATTTTCTCTAAAATGAGCACATCCTTGCCATGTTCTTTCAATCTCACAGTGTTTGCTTCTACGTCTCTCAATATCCTGTTGAAATTGTCCTTGTCTACACGAAGGAAGTGACAGTTGTTTTCTCGCAGTACTATTGTCGCTGCCCTGCAAATAAACACGGATGTTAAATTCAGAGAAGCGAGTTGATGTAAATTTAATTAAAGGAACTGCTATGTATTCAGGTATATAAACGGTACCTAAGACGCCATGTCAGCCAGAATTTTAATCTACGATTGAGAAGGTAATGAAATAGGAGTTTCTCTCTACTCTACTAAAATATTTTCAGCAAATGTAGAAATTGTAAGATCTTATGAAAACATTATTTAGCTGAATGTATGAAGTATGTTACGCATCTGAAACGGTAAAAGCATTAATTTGGATGAACACCTCGTCAAAATTGCAGCTAAAACACAGATAATAAATAACTTGCGTAAAATATAACTCGCATACAAGGTTCCTTGAAGGTGTACGTCCATAGATAATATATCTAATTTCCAATATGATTTTACGAAGTCAAATCACGTTAGAAAATTAAATGCACTTTCACCACATTTTTAAATCATTGATTAATTTTTTGTCGAATGCCTCATCAAGATTACAGCTGGAACATGGGATAAAGCTTGCCATAATTTCTGTAATATACAATCCGCATTATAGATCTCCTTGAAAGTGCGCGTTCATAGGTCCGCATCTTAATTATTGGAATACGACTGTCATGAGTGACCACCCTGTAACGCCTTACACGCTGCAGATTTCCGTATACAGTGCTGGCCAAAGTAGCTAGCTGTTTGGACAGCTATCTCGCGGAGAAGTCTCCCTCTAGGCGTTGTTCTTGTGACGGGAGGCTTCTGATGCTGACAAGTTTTACCGCCAATTATGAACCCTTGGATGGACCAACATTACAAGGTTGAGGAATATTTGAGGTCTTTCAGAAGAAACTACACGGTTTCTAAAGCATGACTTCTTGTGGGTAACAACTTTGCGGAAGAACTCCTCCAAGCGGCAGAGCTTGCGGAGATATTTTGTAGAAAGTGTGAGTGTATATTAGTCAGACTATATACACCTTTATACTATTTCCGATATCCTAATGGAACTATGTACGGCTTTGACATGCACATTTTTGGTGAAATGACTTGTAACTCCTGACACTACATATACAGGGTGTTTCAGTTTATTGTTGCATAACTTTAAGATTAGATAGAAATTTTAAAATTAATGCATAAAGTCTATATAAACATGGGTCGAAAAATGCGTGGCTTCCGAAATACAGGGTGTTTAAATTAACTTTTTAAAATAGTTTTTTTTAAATATTTCGAACAATATTTGATGTATAACAGTGAAAATTGGTATACAAGGGTTTTCTGGTACGACAAAACGAACCATGGGCATAGTTTTACTGTAGCCGCTAGAGGGCGCTCTCTACTGTACCTGTAGTGTATTGAAATGACCGAAAAAAATTGTTTGTTGCAATTTTTTGTTTTTTGAATAAAAAAACTGATTCTTCGCACTTTTCTGCATAAAAAAGCTATCCTGTGAGTTTTCGTTATGGTTTAGCCGTTTTTGATATATATATCGATTTTTAAGGTTCCATGCATTTTTAATTATTTATGGGAAAATAATATTTTCTTTACATTTTCGAGTTGGGCCTTACAAGTAATTAAGATGATCGTTTAGATTGTGTTTTTAAACACAGCAATAATTCCTAACTCCAAATAAAAAAAAACAGAATATTAATTTGTTTAATTTTCCAATATTATTTTTAACAAATTAAATTAATTATTTACAACTAAAATGCTATTGGATAGTTAGGACAAACATAAAAAATCTAAAGTAGTTGCTCGAAATGTAAACCCAATTGTTCAATACACAATTCAAATATACGAATGATAGAACGTGGTATAGCATTATTCAAATAAGGCCTTATTTCATCACATGCATTCCTGATTCTGTCTATTAGCATATCTCTTGTGGTTACGGGACTCTGGTACACTTTTTCTTTTAGAAATCCCCACACAAAGATTAGGTCAGGGGATCGCCAGGAGACTGGCCTCCACGGCCGATCCATCTTTCTGGATAATTTTCGTCCAGCCAGCTTCTAACTAATCTCGAATAATGAGCTGGACAACCATCAAGCTAGAACCAGGCCAATCTTCTTAAATCTAACAAAACATAACATATTTGCATGTTCAGCCTTTAAAAATTCCAAGAAGGTCGCAGCATATAACCTTGCAGGCAGAAGGTAGGGTCCAAATAGTCGATTACGGTAGATACCAATCCACACGTTCACACTAAATTCATGCTGAAAATTTCTTTCCCGAACTGCATGCGGATTTTCATGCGACCAAATATGTTGATTATGAAAATTTACCACTCCACGTCTAGTGAAGCATGACTCATCGGTCCATAAAACGTTACTTAAAAACTCCCTATTGTTATCAGTTCTATCAAGAATCCACTGACAAAATGTGATTCTTCGTTCTCCGCCCCTGGCGGTAGTCCTTGCACAGACTGCAAATGGTAAGGACGTCTATGGTAATTTCTAAGAACACGGTGAACATGGCTTCCAGAAATTCCCAAGGCACCAGAAACTCTCCTAACACTTGTGGTCGGATCTCTACCAAACTCATCCAGAATCATACGGGTAAATCTGTGCTGACGAACACTTATGTTTTGATCCCTTTGGAGATTTCCAAAACCATTTTCAATTATTTGGCGATGCACTCTTACAAATACTGAGCGAGTTGGATGTCGTCTGTTTGGAAATCTTCGTGCGTATTCTCTGGCTGCTTCTGCTGCGTTTCCATTCACAAAGCCATACACAAAATGAATGTCCGCTAACTCTTGCTTGGAGAATAAAAATGGCATTTTTATGAAACGGGTATAAGAAACTAAATTTCGTGCATTCACAATTGCAAAAAAACGTTTCAGGTTTCAACAGACAACAAAACTAACTGTCAACTAATTAACGTTTAACCTTATTCTGCTTTCAATTTCAAAAATATTTGCAGGCACAGCCTACTTCTAAAAATTATCGAGTTACTGACTTTTTAACGTTATTTTATCATAAATAATTAAAAATGCATCGAACCTTAAGAATCGAAATATTTCTAAAACGGCTAACTATAACAAAAACACACAGGAGAGCTTTTTTATGCAGAAAAGTGCGAAGAATCATTTTTTTTTATTCAAAGAGCAAAACGTTGCACTAAGAATAATATTTTGGTCATTTTAATACACTACAGGTACAGTAGAGAGCGCCCTCTAGCGGCTACAGTAAAACTATGCTCATGGTTCGTTTTGTCGTACCAAAAAACCCTTGTATACCAATTTTCACTGTTATGCATCAAATATTGTTCGAAATATTTAAAAAAAAACTATTTTAGAAAGTAAAATTAAACACCCTGTATTTCGGAAGCCACGCATTTTTCGACCCATGTTTATATAGACTTTATGCATTAATTTTGAAAGTTCTATCGAATCTTAAAGTTATGCAACAATAAACTGAAACACCCTGTATATTAAGTGACATATAAATCCGAACACCCAGTTTAAATGGTTTTATTTTAATAAAAGTTGGTGAATGTATTTATCTTACTGTAAATAACAAGTGAAAAAATTTTCAGCCTTATCAGTTGGACATTCCGGTTTTTATACTGCTTTTTTTTAATTCACTAACGCTCTAAAAATGAATATTTCAGCCGCAGTAAAGAATCAACGTTGGCGGATTTTGGTTCTTGACATCCTTTACGATCGGTTACGATGCCTAGAGTACGGAGACCTGTACAATTTCGTCAACTTAGTGAGTTCGATAGGGGCCGTACAGTGGGACTTCGGGAAGCTGGACTTTCTTTTCGGGCAATTGCAGTTAGAGTGCAAAGAAGTGTAGACACTGTGGTTAGGTGTTGTCAGGCATTGCTTCGAGAAGGCCGTACGCAAAGAGCAAGGGGCACTGGACGCCGCCGAATTGTCTTTAGTGACGAGTCTCGATTTTGTTTAGGCATGCACGATGGTCGTGCCAGGGTTAGAAGGCGACGTGGTGAAAGGAGGAATCCACAGTTTTTTGTTGAAAGACAAGTTCATCACACTGTTGGAGTTATGGTTTGAGGTGCTATAGCTTATGGTTCCAGGTCACCTTTAATCTTCATCAGAGGTAACATGAACGCGCAGCGTTATATCCACGAAGTTCTAGAACCCCATATTTTACCCTATATTGACACCCTGGCAGATCCAACTTTCCAACAAGATAATGCCCGACCACATGTTGCAAGAGTCACAATAGACTTCTTTCAACATAATGATGTCACATTGTTGCCATGGCCACCAAGATCTCCCGACTTATTCCCAATTGAGCAGGTGTGGGATATGATGGGTAGGAGATTGCTCAATTTGCAACGTCCTCTTCAGACTCTAGAAGCACTTCGAGAGGAGTTGGTGGTTGCCTGGAATGAGATACCACAGGAGGACATTGACCACCTGATCAGAAGCATGCCTAGGCGCGTTGGAGAATGCGTAGCACATCATGGTGCATCCACACATTATTAAAGGTCAAAGGGCTTTAAAGCAGTGCAATCATTTTGAAATTTTTATCATTTACTTATTATGCTTCATTAAGTACTTATACAAAATTTTATTAAAATAAAACCATTTAAACTGGGTGTTCGGATTTATATGTCACTTAGTATAGTAATGAAAAGAGGAAAAAGTGAAGGAACTGTCATATGGAAGACAGATAAACAAAACATAATGCCATTGTTGCCATTGCACTTGAAAAAGGCTAATACCGTGGTGGTCAAAACGTCCTATAATATATGCATATGGTGTTCCTAAGGTTCTCAATTTTTTTTACTCATTTTGAACAGACACATATGACCTATGCATTTATTTCATAAATCAACAATGAAGAAAAATCAGTGGACGAAAATGCATGCAAAAGTTTGATACTTTTTTCCGGCTGTCTTTATCGTCGCAGTAATTTCAAATTTATGTTTCTTATTGTGTTGCTACAATAAGTTAAAAATTTAAATCCGTTCCATCAGACAAATCAGTAAACGACTTTTCGATGTCTTGCTTCCAATGTTCTCTTAATTTTTGTCATATTGTCTTAA